GAGCTACTGCTCACGCTACAATGCTGCATCAAACATAACGTCGCCACGCACACCCTCTGCGTGCCGACGGGGCGTCGCTACGCACACCCTCTGCGTGGCTGCGACCATTTATTAAAACCCTAAAACCAATTAAATTCACCAATAAAGTACCCTTAGTGGAAAGGCGGGGGGCTTAGTGGGCTTACCCCTAATGGAACCTGCGGCTTCGTTTTATTCGGGTTAGAAATGCTTCCATCATCGATGCCTATACTTTGGGAAGGGTGGCCCGCCCCCCTGCCTTCGCACGATCTTTACCGTTACCCGGGGGAGGGGCTGGGTATCGACCGGTACGCGCAAGAGGATCACTGATGCTGCTTCGAATGAGCCCCACCGAGACCCTTGGCGTTTGTTCTCGAGCTTGGTGCGGTTTGTAACTGTGGCCAAAACTTGAGCTCGGCGCACACGCCGCGTCCGATGAGGTGATGGTAATCGGCTATTGCTGCCTTCTTCTCCATCACGTTTTGGTCGGGTCTGTTCGAGCATATTCACGTATGTGTCGTTCTGTTCGGATCTCGACCAGGCGGCGTGACGTCCTGACGCCTGTCACGTTGGATGTGTAGTATAATCGGGCATTGCTGCGCCTGGCTGTTCTCGTGGTCTCATGTCGGTTCACATGTTGCGTTTGATAGGGCGCCGTTCATATGTCGCTGCTGTTTCCTATTATCTCCAATTCTGTCAGTTCGAATTAGGTTGTATTATGTCATGCTCTCTCATGTTTTGCTCTGTTTGGGGCGGGCGGGCGTGACCTCTTGTCGCGTTTCAAGCATCGTCCAATCAATGATTGCTGCGCCGCTCGTTCCTGTTGCCAGCCTGACCTCGGCGTGGTCATCGCGTTTGACAGGACAACGCTGATCGGTCGCTGATGTTCCCTTTTTGTGGAAGAAACCATGGTTGATCCTGGACCATTCCCCAGGCAGTGTTTGCAACTAGGCGTGGATACTTCTTGTCGGAAAAAAACTGGGCCTGGCTGTTGGTTCGGCGGCCATGTGGCCGCCGTGTCCGCCCCGACGCCGCTCCGCACTGCAATGTACCAATCGTCCATCATACACTTGAATTGACACAGTGCCAAACAAACGCTGATCGACCACCCCCTTTTATCCCCTGTCGCAAGAAAAAGGCCCGTGCAGACATGTATCGGCAAGGAAACAAATACATAGAAATCGCGCAACGAGCGGGACGGAAACACACATTCGCGACTCGTGGTGCGCGCATACCGGAATCTTGCGCAGACCTGCGTTCCTGTAAAAATGTGCAAGACAAGGTGCATTGACAACGTGTAAAGCATGGCTCCGCAAGAACCAACTATCAGAAACGAGCGCGTTCGTGTCATTGCGAATATGTCAACGTTCCAGCAATGCTAACATATGTGCGTCTCGAGCACGCATGTCGGATTCGTTCGAACGCCCTTTCCGCGCGTACTACCTCAAGGACCCCTTGCAAAACATGGAGCGAATATCACACGCTTGCATCGTAGTGCGCGCATGCCGCAATCCTTCAGACAACTCTGGTTTCGCAACGATGCCCGAATCGATCGTCTCGACAACATAAAGAAAACACATGAGTTCGCAACCTCAGGCTTCACAACAAAGAAAGCGAGCCCTCCGGCGAAGTTTCAATAACAATCAAAAGTGGTTGTACAATTATTTAGAAAAGGCCCTGCGCATGTCGAGTTGTTGCGCGCGTGCAAGGGGGGCACGCTCCCTTCCAAATCATACCATACCATGCGGAACATTCGGGCGTGTCGGCAGCGCACGCATATTGAAATCCTTACTGCAACCTTCATCGCCTACGCGAAGATACCATCATCGTTATCGGCATGATTGGCATCGGGAACGTCATTGGCATTGCCGCCGTCGTTTTCATTATCAAGGCTAGCATCTCTACTATGAGCTTCGTGTCTGCCATTTCTCAGATCGCCATGACACCGCGCCCGCCCCAGCCACTGACTCGCACTGGAGTGCCCGCGCGTCAGGCGCTGGACTTCCCCAGCGGTCAGCGCCACCGCGGCCGTGTCGGTCGCGTCAGGCTAGCCGTCCGCTTTGCACGCGAGCCTGCGCGCTAGCGCGACCGCGGCGACGGGCCAGGCAGCGCCGAGCAGGCATCGCAACCGCCGCCGCCGCATGGGCTCTGTGAACTAAGTCGCAGGAGGGTGGGTGTGCCGATTTCCCGAACAGTGGAGGTGACAACTTAGAGGCCGACAGGGTGGATCGTACCACAAATATTCTACAACGTTGTATTCTGGAGCACACTGTTTGGGGCCGACGCGGGCAAACATTCGAATTAACGATACGACGCGGTGGTATGCTAAACTCTGCTATGGGATGTTGCACTATACCCTGCTATGTTGTGTTACGCCGGCTTCCCTTCTACCGTATATTGCCCAATAACAGAATGTCATGGTCTGTTGTAGTATATGCGTGGCCATGTTATGTCATGCTTGTTTGTGTTCGTGCACATGATATCCGATGCGATACCTTCCAATTACGCATTTACCTCTACCCTTACTGACCGTATTCGGTTTGGCGACGCACTCGTATCCACGCGGTGCATGCCAACTGTGTTCCAGTTTACGGTTTCCAGTTTACTATATGTGTGTGGCATGATGGGTTTGTGTGCGCATGTGCTGGTGCTCTGTTATGTTATTGTCAGGTATGGTATAGATGTCCCGCTGATTGATCACACCTGCTATGCGTTTGTACATCGTGTCCCCGCTTCTCTTCTGGAGTATCGAATGCACCTCATTTGCAGTGCGTTGCATAATCGTTGTGCCTCATATGTTACGAAGTGCCGTTTACAATCGGGAAAACAATTGTATGTTATAGTCGTTGAAGTAAGTAGTGTAAGCAATCCTGGAGCCAGTAGCGTATGATCTGCCATGTTCTGTGGTGTTCAACTATGCCCCCCCCCCCCCGAGATGACACTGCACAATGTCCTGTGGTATGCGACGATATGATTTGTGATGTTATGTGTCGTGTTGCTGTGCAGTGTGATGATCCGTTCAGTATAGTGATGTTATGGTTTGTTGTGTTCTGCAAGTCTTGTTCGGTACTGGTATGCTCGATGCTGCATTCGTACAGTCGCTACCCTAGTGATAGCAGTAGTGACGCCAGTCTGTTGTTTCATGTCATGCTCCGTCGTGCTCTGTAATGCGTTGTTCTGCCCCGATCTGTCACAATATCATGCCTGATGGTGAGCTATGGTGCTGTCTGTGATGCTGTGCTATGTTGCGCTATGCCATGTCACGCTTATGCTATGGTATTCCATGTCGCAGCATGTAAAGTTGTGATCACATGACGTATAAGTTGGTATCTGTGATGTGATCTACTGTTGGATGACCCACTATTGGGGAACGCGATGTGTTATACCATGGTATGGTGTGGGTTGGCAGGAAATCCTCTGTTCGGATGAAGTACTTCATGTGGCTTTATGGTATGTCATGGTATACTGTGGGGTGGTGCGTTTTCTTATGGTGAGCATTTTTTTACTCGGCGATTCGACATTGGGAGGAAGGGAGGGAGGGGGGGGGGGCTCCGGACCTCTGCTTAACGCGGCTGTTTGCAACAGTGCGGCCTCTGGGGGAGGGACTCCACCTGCCTGAAAACAGCCAAGATCAACTCCATGGGGGGTGTGGGGAGTGGGGGATGCGATGGCCCGCGCCGATCGGCCAAACAATGAGTAAGAAAACGATAACATGTGTCGACGATCTGATCCACGCTGCCATGCTGTTAATTCACATTGCCTTTTTAGAACAATAAATGAATACATGTGAACGTGTCCTGCATTCAAGATGCGGATGCCGAAGATTCACGACTCCTCCCCCTCGGGGCTGTCTGGTATGCAGGGTGTCGCCATTCGTCGAGGACGCGATGCAGGACCCTCAGGGACTCCCAGGACCCTCTGAAGTTTGGCGACCGCGGCATGGAGCTGTCACTCGTGATGGCTTCGAGGCGAATCGCTCAGGGGTTCCCGGGATCCTGTGGGGTCTGGCGATCGCGGGTCGACAATTCCCTTGTCAAGTTCTAATAGACCCAACATGCCGAGTGGGGAACACAAGCGATCTCCTACCCTCCCCAATTCAGCCCCCCCCCGCTCCTGAATGGCAGCGACAAGGAGGGACCAGCTCAGGGGGGGGGGGGGGAACATCGACCTGGAATTGGCGATACATCGCCGACCCATCCCCTGATAGGACCCCGATGGCGAAGTGGCACGGTCCTGAGTGGGCTGGGCTCTCAGGCCCTTATCAGCGATTTTTGGGCGACTGCGGGCCGATGCGCCCCGCCCCCCAACTCCTCCTCCCTCCCCTCCTCCTCCTCCTCCTCCTCCTCCTCCTCCTCCCTCCCTCCTCCTCCTCCTCCCTCCTCCTCCTCCTCCTCCTCCCCCTCCACTCCCCCTCCTCCTCCTCCTCCTCCTCCTCCTCCTCCTCCTCCTCCTCCTCCCCTCCCCCTCCCCCTCCCCTCCTCCTCCTCCTCCTCCTCCTCCTCCTCCTCCTCCCTGAATGTTGCCCCTTGATTCTCGAGCTGACTCGGCTCTCCGGCGGAAGTGCGGGCCAATGCGGGCACCCTCACACCGCCCTCTCGCAGTGGCCGGCCGGTAGAACACGCCCCGGAGCTGGATCACCGCCGAGAGCGGCATGGAACGTCCGAGAACCTCGAACCTCGAATCCCCCAGGAGCGTCCCCGCCCCTGATGACTACCTACCAGACCATCCCAACCCAACCCGAAGACCCGAATTTCGGGTTCGGGGGGGGTAAGGGCTCCACGCGTGTTTTTCCGATGTTCCACGACCCCCCCCACTGGAAATCGATGGTAAATTTGAGCCTTCGGGTTGGGTTGGGGTGGTTTGGTGGGTGGTGATGAGCCTACCCCCCTCTCTCGTTGCCCCTGAGCTCCCCCTTGGTGGTGTTGGTGGCGGCCGTCGTCGCCAGCGGCCGCCGCGGCAGCCCCCGGGGGGGGGGGGGGCGCCTGCGGGCGCGCGGTGTCCGCGAGGAGGTTTGCCAGGGCGCTGAGGCTCAGCAGGGTCTGCGGGTGCGCCGTCCTTCGGGCCCCCCCCCGATCGCGACATGACTACCTACCAAACCACCCCAACCCAACCCGAAGACCCGAACTTGACCCGAATTTCGGGTTGGGGGGGGTACGAGTTCCACGTGTTTTTTTCTATGTTCCCCGACCCCCCCCCCCACTGGAAATGGAGGGCAAATCGTGGCCTTCGGGTTGGGTTGGGGTGGTTTGGTGGGCGGTGACGAAAGGACGATCGAGCCCAGGCGGATGCCGATGCGCTCCGTGTGCCAGGCTCGTCCGCTTCTCGCTTGGCGGCGAGCGCGGGGGGGAAGTGAGAAGGACAAGGCCTTCTCAGAAGTCGGCGGGGCTTCTCAGAAGCCCTCGCGCCTTCCGAGGTATGTTGCGTCTTCGGGGAAGCCCTCGAAAACTTTCAGGAGGCCAGGCAACTTCCGAGCCTTCTGAAAAAGGCCCGCCCCTCTCAGTTCCCCCCCGGGCTCGCCGCCGACTTTCACCCTCCGTGAGCTCTCCAGCCAAAGCGGCAGTGCAAGGAAGCATCGGGTGAAGAAGGTCCCTCGCAGCACCCTGGGGACCCATCCGTCCCTGCCGCGACCCTGGGATAGAAGGGACGCGGGGCCCCAGAAGGCAAGAGGAGGCGGAGGGCCCCTCCTCCTCCTCCTCCTCCTCCTCCTCCTCCTCCTCCTCCTCCTCCTCCTCCTCCCCAACTAACGCTGCCACGATGGAAGAGAAGTCATGGCTTCATGGAGTGCAGCGGTGTCCGCCAAAGGAAGCGCCGCGAACCCGCAAGAACGGAACACACGAAACGGGCAAGGGGCAGAACGGACGCCTCGTCGCATCGTGCATCACCGCCAAGACGAGATGGCAGGGTTTTTGTGGAGGGCGGCCGGTGGATTTCGCAACGGACTTCCCGACCATCACCCTAGCCAAATCGACTGGCATGCGCAGCTGGATTTCTACCCTAGGGCCTAGGGCGAGCGGACATGAAGGCCCCATGGGACTCAAGGGCCACATGGCCCCGCCTCAAGCGCGCCTGATAGCCGGCGCGGAGCATGGCACTGGTGTCGCGGGCGCAACCGAACGCCGCGGCTCCGGTCAAGGTGCCACGGAACACGTTCTGGAGCGAAAAGTGACGGCACGTTTGCCCCCAGCCGCAACGCGCAGCTGACTTTGACTTTGACCGTTGGTTTTCTTCGTCTCGTCGCTGCGCGCGAGGCCCCGACCGCAAAAACAGTGTGTGTATGTGTGTGCGTGTGTGTGCGTGTGGGTGTGTGTGTGTGTGTGTGTGTTTGCGCGGGGGGGTGAGGAGGTGGGGACGACGGAGGGGAGATAATCAGTTGGGGAACGAGAGGACAGAAACAGGAGGAAGAAAACGAAGTCAACGATGAAGAGGAGGTGTGCTGCAGAATTCGCTCCATGGCCTGGCGAACGCACAGTGATCCCGATGCTCAAACGAAACCGCCCTCCCATCCGCGCATCTGTTGCGCAAATTAGCCACATGCGCCCTCTGACTGGAGAAAACCAACATGATCGGCGCCAGAAGAAAATCGACGCATCTAGATGTCATGGGCGAAAATGTCCAGCGCGAAAGCGAGAACACAAATTTGAAGACACATGCCAACCGTGAGGATGTTCAGGCGAGGAACACAATCTTCAAGCGGCCTGCCCTCAGTTTCTTTAGCTGTTGGAAAAGTCAAGCTTCCAGATCATGAACGATGAGGCGGTATCAGGTGAATCGCCCAGCCCGCTCTGTCAAACCTCTGGCTGTGCGACGAGGAAGACATGTGCATAAGCAACATGGGTTGGGGAGGAGGCAGAGAAACCCGAGGATAATGAGAGGGAGAAGACGGCGGTGACAACGATGATGACGAGGTGGATGACGGAATACGAAGAAGACGAGGGCGTGGAGGAAGACAAGTATGGTGACGATGACAGCTACAAGTGGCGACACGGATGGAAAGGTCCATGAGGAGGACGATTGCGCGTCTGTCGGCGCACAACAGGGCGGCGGGGAGAGGAGAAGAAACGTATGGGGGCGAAGGAACGGGAGAGTGGAGCAACACGAGGAAGAGGACGGAGAAACGGGAGTGCCGAGTGGTGAGCACGTTGGTGTCAGTGTGAGCTGGTCTTTGGGAGCTGGCGCGAGAAGGAACACTGGCAGGCAAGAGAACGACGAGCAGGAGCTCCTCAACCTCCGCCTCCTCCTCCTCCTCCTCCTTCGTCTGCTCCTCATCCTCCCTATTCCTCCTCAATTCTCGTCCTCACTTCACTTCCACCCCGTCCGGCGCCACCGCCTCTTGGGCTCCGCAGCCGCGTGCGAGGCACCGCGAAGACCAAACCTTCATCTCCTTCCCTAGCAACCCCAGCCCCCATCCACCTTTTCCTCGTCCCCCATCCCCGTTCCGCTCTCTCACCCCTAATCCTCCTACTTCTCATCTACCCTCCTCCTCCTCCTGCATCCCTGTTCATTTTGTATAACTGTTCCCTGGCGCGACTTGTCGGTAGGGAGGGACGGGCGTTTTGCCGAAGACTGAAGCTTGAAATGCGCAACACGTTCAGGGATGGAGGAGGTTTTCAACATGTGGCTCTCGACGTAGCGCCGCGCGAATTTGTTTTCAAAGTTCGAAGCGGCTTCGACCATGAAGGGTGGGTGGTTCAGGCAAATGTGGTTGTCGCCAATAACGCCTCGCACTTTCGCTTGAAAATGACATCAATTTCAAAGATCACGGACGGTTTGATGTCAAGATGTGATCCTCACCTTAGCGCCGCGCGCATTCGTTCTGACCGTACGGTTAAAGTCACGGGAATGGTTCTCTGGCATGACTTCGGATTGACAGGAAGTCACAGTCACGTTCACTCGCGGCGTTGAGGTCACAATAACTAATTACGCCCTGGCGCAATGTAAGACGGCCTGGATGCAACAGTTACGTTGATTCGCGGATTGAAGATTATCAAACATTTGCCGTTGAATGGAGAACTCCCCGCACAATACGTAAAATGTCGCCAGGACCTATGAAAAGCGACCCTAGAGGGAGGGTGCTCATTGCAACATCGTTGATGCCTCCTGGGCCTACACTGTTCCTCCGCCCTCTCTCCCTCCTCCTCCTCCTCCTCCTCCTCCTCCTCCTCCTCCTCCTCCTCCTCCTCCCTCCTCCTCACCCCGACTCCTTCTTGCTCGCCATCGCCCCTCACTCCTCCTCGTCCAGTCACCTCCTCCTCCCCCCTCCCTCACTCCTCCCCGCGGGAACAGCGGGCACGAGAGAGCCAGGGCGCGCCACAAAAGGAAGCCGGCGCAGTCCCGAGCTGGGACCGCCGTTCGGCGACGACCTGCCTGAGCAGCTCCTCGGCCTCCTCCACGCGACCTGTGCGGCCGCCTCTCTGAGGAGGCAACTACTGGGAGTTTGTCGTCGGAAGGACCAAACAGGATGAAGCCCCACTGGGGAGCTGTTGCGCCTGAGTGGGCCTCGGATGAAGCGGGATTGAGCAAGATCGAACGGGATTAAGCGGGATCAAGCGGGGTTAAGCCGGATTAAGCTCGATTTCGGACCAGGGCAAAATCAGAATTTGATCTCCCAGGAGTTGCATCCGAACATCTCTTGTCCTTGAGCGGGAGAGGGGGGGAGGAGAGGCGGAAGGCGACGGACGGAGTGGGCGAGCGGGAGGAGCGAGGGAAAGGACGAGAAAGGGCAGAGGAGAGGAGAGGGGAGGAGGAGAAGGAGGAGGAGGAGGAAGAGGACGAGGAGGACGAGGAGGCGGAGGACGAGGAGGAGGAGGAGGAGGGGGAGGAGGAGGAGGAGGAGGCGGAGGAGGAGGAGGAGAGGAGGAGGAGGAGGAGGAGGAGGAGAGGGATAAGGAGAGAAGGGAAGAGGCACAGATGAGGACCCCGAGAGGAGGAGAGGGGGAGGAGGAGCAGGAGGATGAAAAGGAGGAGGAGGAGGAGGAGGAGGAGGAGGAGGAGGAGAAGGAGGAGGAGGAGGAGGAGGAGGAGGAGGAAAAGGAGACGAGCTTGCAATTTGGGAAGCTCCGGGGAGCCCCGCGTCGACACCGCCGGGTTTCGGCGCGAAGCCGTGGCCGGTAAGGCGAACGCGAGCAGGTCCACAGGCTGCCTTCGACGGGCGGGGGGCTCAGCCCTTCAGGCAAGCTGTTTCAGGGCCTGGGCGTCTCGGGGCCCACGATGTGCAGACAGCTCGAGGACAGACCATCATCGTGGGTCGAGGCATTCGAGACCTCTTGGATGGGGTCCTATCAGAAAAGGGTCGAAAGGTCGCGGCGCATCGCCAATGCATCGGCGATGCATCGGCGACGCCGGTGATGCATCGGCGACGCCGGCGTGGGGAAGCATGATCTCCACATCGAGCCGCATCGTCGATGCATCGGAAATGCGGCGCGATTCCCCGACCCCATCTACTCGGACCCCATCTGGGAGGCCTAAAGGCATGGGTCCACGGTTGCGGCCCCAGCCGCCCGGCACACGCGGACGGGGGCAGGCACCGAAGCAGGGGAACAAACAGCAGGTAAGGAAACCCGTGGCACGCATTGGCGCGTCGGGCTACGAACTGGCTCAGCCTGGGCCCAGAATAGGGCTCCGCGGCGTACGCTTTGCGTCGAGTATTGTCTACTCTGGCTGGCGTCGCTGGTCGGTCACCCGTTCGCAATCGAGTGGTCGCCCGTAAGGGGCTATTTGGCAGTTGCTGACCCCCCTTCTCGTTCCCGAGCGCGGGGGGGGGACGGTGGCGCACCGTCCCATCGCCCGCCGCCGCGCACCGCGCGCCTCTGCGGATCCCAAAGACCTGGCAAGGCAAATCATGCGCGAGTCTGGAAAATTCTCTGGGGGGAAAGTTGAACAAATCCGGGAACATTGTTGAACATGTCCGGCCTACTTTTCGAAAAATGTCAGAACCGTTTTGGAAAATTTCCGAGATCCATTTTGAAAATCCTGGAAGCCATTTTGAAAAATTCCGGAATTCAGAATTCTTCAGATGTCCTGCGCGGCGGGCGCATTCCACCCCTCAAAACTGTTTTTGTTTTGAAAATTTCCGGGCTCCTTTTTGACAAATTCCGGAACCGCCTTCAGCGGAAAAATTTGCTGACACATTCTATAATCCAGAAATAATGTCCGGGCGGTCCGACGGGCGCGGCCGGCTGATTCACGCGCCGCGCCGCGCGCGATTGGGCGCAGCGCGCGCCGCGCGTTGCGCCCGCGAACAGCACTCGAAGGGGCTACCTCGAAAACAGCGCCACGGCGGCTGCGACTCGCGGACTCCCCAAGAGCAACACAGCATGCAGTTTGGAATCTTCGAGGGTGTTCCGATGCGCGAATAATGCACCGCGAACATCACGCAAAGAACCTGCGCGACGGAACGCGCTCGAACATTCGTCCCTGAAGCCCGCGCGGAAGAACAGGAAAACCTGGAAAACTAGCAATATCAATACTTCGTACTCCTCTGACAGAAGCCAGGGCGGGCCCGGGGCGTCGAGACGTCGGAGGGAGCGACTCGTCAAACGGACTCACATTCGAGGCCTCACGAATCAACCTGTATGCAGACGCCTTGCATCTCCTCCTCCGCCCTCCAACTCCCCCGAACTTGTAACTTATGATCATCATCCTCGTCTTCTTCCGAAGGCCTTGCAAACTCTTCCGTCTGTTTTCGGGGGCTCTCTCTCGCGAGGGCATGTGTGCAGACAGCCAGGAGGGGAAGACGGGATTGCCGGAGCGAGGGGGAGAGAAGAGAAAATGGAATGGCATACAACATGCAGGGAGAAAGCGGCACGAAACGAGAAGGGAAATGAGCGAGAGCGTGATGACAGAAGGCGGGAGTGAGATAACTGAGCTTGAACGAAGGACGGAAATGCTTGTAGTCTTGTAGTCCTCCCCAGAAGACCTCATCCTGCCCCCTCTCGCCGTACTACTCCCAGTAACTTCTCGCTCTCCTCCTATTCCTCAACCCACTTCCTCTTCCCCCCGCACCTCTCCCCCCGAAACCTCCGCAGCTCGCTGGAGGAGGGCAGGCTCTGGAAGCGGTGTCTGATTTCTTGTTCGAGGCAGCGCAGCCCATCTGCCACGAGCTCAGGCTGCCGGCGTCAAGGCGGCAAGCGGCCAGGTAGCTCGGCACCGCGCCAGCGGGCGCGGCGCTGGCGACGGGCTCGGGCCGCGCGCCCTGCGGCGCGGCGCCGGCGGGCGCAGCGCAGGCGACAGGCTCGGGCTCGGGCTGCGCGCCCGGCGGCGCCGCGCCGGCGGGCGCGGCGCAGGCGGCGGCCCCGGGCGGCGCGGCGCCGCGGGAGCCTTGAGGGGGGGGCGCGCGCCGGGCGTCGCAGGAGGCAGTCGCAGTCCTCCTCCTCCTGGAATCCTCCTCCTCCTCCTCCTCCTCCTCCTCCTCCTCCTCCTCCTCCTCCTGGACTCCTCCTCCATCTCGTCCTCCTCCTCCTCCTCCTCCTCCTCCTCCAGGCAGCGGGGCGGGGAGGGCCTGCGCCACGACAGACGCCCCCCCCCCCCCGAGGAGGAGGACGGGTGGACGACGACGGTGGCAGCGCGCATGCGCAGGAGTGGAGTCGGAGGGGGAAGGAGACAGCGCAGCGACCACCGTCCGCCGTCCGTCGTCTCCGTCGCAGTCGCCGTCGCCGTTGCCGTCGCCGTCACAGTCGCCATTGCCGTGGGTCTCGCAGTTGCCGTCGCCGTCGCCGCTCCCGCCGCCGCCACCGCCGTCGTCGTCGTCGTCGTCGTCGTCGTCGCCGCCGCTGTCGAAGACGCTGTCGTCGTCGTCGTCGTCGTCGTCGTCGCCTGGTGTCGTCCGTCGTCGTCATGGTCGTCGTCGTCCGTCGTCAGTCGTCGTCGGTCGTCGTCGGTCGTCGTCGTCGTCGCCGCCGCCGTCGTTGTCGTCCTCGTCGTCGTCGCCGTCGCCGTCGTCGTTCGTCGTCCGTCGTCCGTCGTCCACCGTCCACCGTCCGCCATCCGCCGTCTCCGTCGCAGTCGCCGTCGCCGTCGCCATCGCCGTCACAGTCGCCGTTGCCTTCGCCGTCGCCGTCGCAGCCGCTGTCGCCGTTGCCGCTGCCGCCGCCGCCGTCGTCGTCGTTGTCGTCGTCGTAGTCGTCGTCGCCGCCGTGCCGTCGTCGTCGTCGTCGTCGTCGCCGCCGTCGTCGCCGTCGGCATCCACAACGGCGACAGCAGCCCCCGGGCGCCTCTCGAGGACTCCGGCGCGGGGCCGCGCTCCGCGGCGGCGGGAGCGGGCGCGCCGTCGTCGCCGCTGGCGCCGAAGATCGGGGAGCCTGGCGGGGGGGGGGCGGGGGGGAGGGAGGACAGTCAAGGTCAGATCGGGCACGGGGGATTCTGGGCGACACGTTAAAGAGCCCCAGAAATATTCAAACAGAGTCAAACACTTCTCAAAAGATCGGGCATGGGGGAGACAGTCAAGGTCAGATCGGGCCGGGGGGGAGGGAGGACAGTCAAGGTCAGATCGGGCATGGGGGATTCTTCGGGAGCGGCCAAGAGGGGGGTGTCCAAGAGGGGGGGGGTGCAAATCATGACCGGCGGCATGTGCGCGGCCCAGCGGGGGGGCCTGGGACGTAATGAAACAAGAAAAGGCGCCATGAATTCTGAGGAAAATCATGGCCCGCGCCATGATATCCACCCCCCCTAGTCATCACCCCCCTCTTTTCCGCCCCCGAATTCTGGGCGACAAATGAAAGAGCCCCAGAAATTTTCAAACAGAGTCAAACACTTCTCAAAAAAAACGTCATCGGAGGATATTTCTCAACGTTTTTGGAGAATCTCCTGCAGAGGGGCGTGCCCGACTGAACGTCAAAGGCTTGGAGATTTCTGCCGTCACTCGACTCGCGCTGGATCGGCCACTATGTGCTCCGAGTTTCCCCGGAGATCTCTGGAGCCACTTGGACTTGCCGGCATCTACTCCGATTGATCTGCAAGCACCTTGATTCCATGTGGCTTGACCCCACCGAGTCGAGGGGCGAAAAGTCGCCCCAAGCCTTGGGGAGAGGAGGCAAGAGGAGGGGGGGGTGGCTGGTGACGGGGAGAGGGAGACTGCGGGTCCCGCAGGGACGGAGCCTCGGAGGGCGCCCACCGGGCCAGAGCCTCGTGGACGGCCTCCGGGGCAGCTCACCCCGGCGCCCTGCCGAGGAGGGAGGCGGAGGAGGAGGTGGTGGGCAGGGAGGATGGCGAGGAGAAGGGGGGGGAGGACGGACGCGGCGGAGGCGGGGAGGGAGGCGGGAGGACGGGGGCAGAGGAGGGCAGGAGGGGAGGAGGAGGATGAAGCAGCAGGGGGGGAGGGATGCATCTAGGCGGCGAGCCCCGGGGGGAGGTGAGAGGAGGCAGGCCTTCTCAGAAGGCGACGGGGCTTCTCAGACACCCTCGCGCCTTCTGATATTTTGCCCGACTCTTCGGATAAATATTCAAACACTTCTCAGAAGGTCCGAGGCCTGCCGAGCCTTCCGAGAAGGCCCGAGGACTTCCCCTCTGGCTTCGCCTATGGGCTGGCCTCCGAGGACACAGGGAGATGTGTAGTACAAGGGGAAGGAGGAGGGTGGGAAGGGCTGAGGGGGGCTTGAGTTGAGTAGGGGATGGGCAGGGTGACAATGATCGAGAGGGCGTGGAGGATGCGTAGTTAGGAAAGGGGCCGTTGGCATGGCAGACACGGCGGAATCCTGTGGAGCGTCGAGGAGGACGAGGAGCATCGGATCAGCGGATAGTATCATCGGGGCGCGGAGCACGACGTAGACCGCGCGGATCAGCGGATAGTATCATCGGGGCGCGGAGCACGACGTAGACCGCGGGGACGAGTCGTGCTGTCGCTCTGCGCACCTGCTGCATGTCTGGAAACACGCCGCCTCCCAAAGAATGGGAAGAACTCCCGCCTGGCCATCCATCGAGCCTGGCGTGTGCCGTGCAGCTCTGCGCCCATGGCCTGCTTTGCGGCCCCCCGCGCACTCCGCGCGCGTCAGGAAGCCATGACCACCCTCCCCGCGCACTCCGCGCGCGTCAGGAAGCCATGACCACCCTCGGTCGTCCTGGCGGCTGCCAACCCCAGGGGAACGACGGATTCCCATGATGACGTCGTGCGCAAGTGTTGGGGCCATGCCTGCATACCTGGAAACACGCACCAAGCGCCTATGTGGAGTTCGGGGGGGTGGAACCACCGACGGGACGACCATCGGGACAAACATTTCCATCCCTCCTTCGAACAGCCCCATATCGGTCTATGTGCGTAGCAAGTGCATTATCAACATATTTGTGTATAGAAATCAATGTGTATAGAGATACGTATATGTGTCAACATAGTGGGGTTCACAAATATTTAGCAATACCTGAACATCCCGACTAATACGTTTTACCCTTTTCCACTGTATATGGATATCGACCGACACTACTGTTTGCATATCGATGACGCTCTCCATCACTGGGTCGCACTGTCTACTCATCGATCTCTTTTCCCATCTGCAATCATCATCCGACAAATCCACCACCTGCCCACCGATATCAATGTCCATCAACCGATGCTGGTATCACTACAGCTGCCGATCTATGTATCAAGCTGCCGGCCTCACGACCGATCTGTCGGACAAGCATCGGGACAACCATCCGCATACATATCGGGATAACCATCGGGACAATCCTTGGGACAACCACGATCGGTCTATGTATCGATCGGTCTTGATAGCTAGCTAGCTGTATATAATATGTTCCCATACACATGCACCGATCACACGATCCACCGATCTCCCGATCCCACGACATAAGTATCGACCGATCTCAGTACCCACCTGTCGCTCTCTCTTTCTCCCTCTCTCTCTCTCTGTCCTTATCGATCCATCGATCTCATTAGCAATAGCTCGGTACCGCTATCGGTATCGTTGTCTGTCCATTGCCTGACAATCAGTAGCACTATCCGTAAATCGGTTGCACTACCTGTCTGCCAGTATCACTATCCACCGACCGATCTCACTATCAAGACGTGTGTGTGTACCCATCTGTTGATCTAGCGTTTTCACGATCGGAACACCGACCTCACGATCAATCAATCAATCAAACATGTGGACAACGATCAGGACGACCATCAGGACAGCCATGGGCACAACCATCGTGACAGGCGCGGGGGGGAAACAAACGCCCAAAAATCCGCCAACAGGGCGAGAGGGGGGGAGCGACGGTTGCCCTGATTTCGCGCTGGCAATGGCGCAATCACTCCTCTCCCCGCGCCCGACGCTTCGCTCCATTTCGCCCGCGCGTGCGACACGGGCACGGACGCGACACCGAAACCGATTGCCAAGCTGGGGGGCCTCTTTTTCACGCCGCTCGCACCCCCAAGCCCGAGGAGGAGGAAGAGGAGGAGTGGGGGGAGGAGGAGGAGGAGGAGGAGAGGAGAGGAGGAGGGGAGGGAGGAGGCGGGGAAGGATCGCCCACCCTGGTCGGCGGCGGCATGGCCGCCGGCGCCGCTCCCGCGCGGCCGGCAGCCCCGCTGCGGCGCTGCTGCCCCCCTCCCCCCGCTGGCCCCCCTCCTGCGACCCGAAGGCAGCGATGCCACATCGGGCGCCCTATTCCTCCTCCCCCCCCCCCCGCCTCCTCCTCCTCCTCCTCCCCTCCTCCTCCTCCTCCTCCTCCTCCTCACTCTCCTCCTCCTGCAGCGCCCGCAAGTCGGCCCCGCGAGCGGCTCCGCCGCGCGCGCAGCTGAGGCCCCAGGGCCCCATTGCCTCCCAGCGCTCCGCCCGGAACGAAGGCTGCTGTACCTCCGCGCGCGAACCCCGCTGCCGGCCGGAGGCTCGTGGAGAGCCCCGCCGGCTGCCACATGCCTTTTGACGGCCATGCCCTCGGCATCGCGGCTGGCATCCGCGAAGGCACCCTGCGGCAGGGAGAGTGGGGAGACCAAGAGATACCGACACCGCAACTCCCCGGACCTCTCCCGGGCTGCGCCGGTGACCATGAAGTCCGAGGCGACTCCCGCGGGGGCAGCGAGGGCCTCCGAGGAGGCCCCACAGGGGTGAAAACGGGCGAAGGGTAGCGGTGCTGGCACCCTGTCCTTCTCTGGGAGAGGGGGAGGAGGGGGAAGCTCGCCATCGCTCGGACGTCCCATCCCCCGTGCATTTTTCGGTTTCGTGCGTGCTTTTGTTCGTCAGATGATCCAGGAGGCTCCTCGCTTGTCCCCGCCGAGAAAAAACGCGCACGTCCGAGCGATGCCAAGGGAAGGGGGGGAGGGGAAATCCCAGCCAACTACATCCGGCGCGCCCAGGCGCGCCGCGCGAGCCGCAGCCGCAGCGCACCCCGCGCCACACGGCCTCTCCGCGCCGCCCGCCCGGGCATGCCCTCCGGGCCCGCCTATATATATATATATATATGTATTCCCGCAGGGCGTCTCCCAGCCGATGCCGACGTGCCCGCGCCGCGCGTCCGGGCACGCAGCCCTGCACCGCATCGGCACCCCACCCCGAGCCCGACGGCCGCGCGCTCGGCTCCCCAGGCCGGGATTATGAGGAGGATGAGAGGGAGGAGGAAGAGGAGGAGGAGGAGGAGGAGGAGGAGGAGGAGGAGGAGGAGGACGAGGAGGGAGGAGGAGGAGGAGGAGGAGGAGGAGGAGGAGGAGGGGGCCCAGGCCGGGCCTCACGAGGCCGACCGCGCCGCAGAGCTCCTGCGACGGGCCTGCCGGGCGTGCCCCGCCTCGGCGGCCCACCGAGGACTCGCGCTCGGGCCGGAGGCCAGCCAGGCTCCTCCTCCTCCTCCGCCTCCTCCTCCTCCTCTTCGCCCCGTGGTCATGCCCCCGGCGGTTTGAAAGATGAGGCCCTGAGGGATGGGGTACTGAGGGCGAGGTGCCTCGAACAACGCAAATCCACCGCGGGGTCCTTTCCTTCCTTTGGGGCCCCATCACTCGGGACCCCATCTTTGAACCACCGATGCCCAGGCTGCCCCCGCGAACTCCCCTCCGGCGTCGCCACGGCTGGATCCAGGGATGGCGGCCAGCAGGCAGGCCACTGGAGCCGACATGGCCACGCATGACAGGAACGGAGGAGGTGCACGGGGGAGGCAGGGTAAAGAAGAAGATGCGACAAGAGGGGGGGCCAGGGTAAGGAAAAGGGAAGGGCAAGGAGACCAGTGAGGAAGTGGACGGACAGGGGGAGGAGGGGCAGAATGTGCATGAGAAGGGGGGGAGGAGATGGAGTACAGAAGGAGGCGTTGTAGTATTCCCCTTGGAGAGCCCAGCAGCTGCTCGAGCTGCCGCTTGGCGGCGCTGAGCGACAGGGCATCGAATTCCTCCAGGGAGGGGCAGTAGCCATGCCACTCTCGCCCTCCGCCCCACTCCTCCTGTCAGCCATAGACTGTCTCCCCTCCTCCTGCCTCCTCGTCCTACTGCTGTTGCTGCTGCTGCTGCTGCTCCTACTAGTCCTTCTCCGCCTACTTCCTGTCTCTCCTCCTCCTCATGCTGCTCCTGTTCCTGAGTCGTCGCCCCCTTCTTCGATGCTCCTCCTCGATCTCTCTCCTTCTCCTCCCCCTCCTGTTCCCCCTCCTGCTGCTGCCTCTCAATATCATGCTCGTCGTCCGCCTCCACATCCTGTAATTCCGCGTGGTCCCCCTTGACTCTCGCCATCTTCCTCCTACTCCTCCTAGTCACATGGTGTACATGTTCTACTCCTCGTCCGCCTCCGCCTCCTCCTCCTCATCGTCATCATGTTGTCCTCTTCCACTGCCTCATCAACCTCATCGCCCCCCATTGCTCCTGCTGCTGCTGCTGCTGCTGCTGATCTCCCCCCCAAACGCTCCTCGTCGACCTCCTACTCCTCGCTCATCTCTTTTTGTCCTCCTCCTCATCATCTCACCTCCTTATCTGCCCTTTTATCTGCCCTCCCTTCCTCCTGGCCCCCCTCTTCCCTCGGGAACCTCCGAGAACGTCCTCCAAGATCCTCCGAACCTCGAAAGCCTCCGAAGTCATCCTCTCATTGGATGTCAGGGCCGGCGGGTCAAACAACAATTTCCAGACGTGTTCTTCGACTCTAAGGGATCGACTACATAATCGATTTACCCCGAAATTGAATTTTCCGTCGGAACTACGAAACAGACGTAGAATTCTCGGTTGATCTCGAAGTTCCCTACGCATTTCTCATGTATTCGAGGGACAATCTGTTTGGGGATAAATCAATTCTGTAGTCGTTCCTCTAGGCGAGCTCTGTCGAGCTATCTGTCGAGGATATCGAGGGTCATCCAGCCGTGGCGACGAAAAGCCTCCCAAAGGCCGACATAACCTGACGAACAAAAACAATTAATCACCTCGATCCTCGGGCTTGGCTGTCTGGCTGTTAATTCGGGCTGGCTGTTTGTGGTAATTGGTTTCGGTCATACGGCTTTCGGGCATAGAGAAGGGCAGCCGATCGGCTGAGCACAGGAGGCTGCCTCTGCAAGGTGGAGAATGCGGTCGCTCTTTGAGCGCTCGGAAGCAAGACGACTGCAGCAAGGGCCAGTAACGAACCGGAAGCCAAATCGACATCGGAACCCCTCGGATCTCTGGAATGTGGGGCCGAATCAGCACTCGCCACGCCGGACCGGGACACAAGAAACCAGAACACCCGTCGGAGCCGGACTGGGCCCGCAGAATAAATTGTCTGGGAGTGGCGTCGTCATCGATCCTCGGGAAACCAGAATACGAACCGGAACCAGAATTTCGGGGAACGAAAGATGACAGAAGCATAACATCTCGGAGGTCCACGCGGATTTCTTGGATCGGCGTTGGGGCCCCCTGGCGGCGGCGCCTCCGGCGCCGCCTCCCTGGCGCGCTCCACGCGCCAGGGAGGGGGGTCCAGCGCCGATCCGAGAAATCTGCGCGGACCTCCGAGTTGTTATCTTTCCGCCAATTGTTTCGCTCCCCTAGGATCGGGGGCGCGCAAACACGGATTCGCAATCCATGGATTTGGAGCGCGCTCGCAAAGTCCATGGATCAGGGAGGTGCCCTCCCCAAAATGCGGCTGGTGCCGCCTCGCCCGGCGGCGGAAACCCGCGATTCCTATGGAATCGGGACCCGTCGCTAGGCCACGCCCTATTAATTCGGCGGTGGGCAAACCTCCCTTTAGTAAACCTCCCCCTAGTGAAAACGGCCTGGGACCGAAACCAAGGGACCTGGACCCGCAAAAATGACGGCCGCGATGCCCTCTCGCGAACCGAAAACGGCCAATTCCTTAATCGACGTGTCAGGGCAGGAGGTCGATCCACCCCCGATGAACCCATGCCTGCGATCGCCTGCTAGAATTGGCCCAGGAAGCTGCTCTGGGAGCACGTCGCGTCGGCATCGATCCTCGATCCACGACCCGCCGGGGAGGGGCCCGGCCCGCCGCGCCTCGTCGTCGCGCGGCGGGGGCTGCCTCCCCAGGGCGGAGGCGGAGGCGGAGCGGACGCGCACGCGCTCGCTGCTGGCGGTCGTCGAGGCGGTCACCTCCGCGGCGGAGCTCGCCCGCCCCCCTCCGAGCGCCTGCCCGCCTCCCTCGTGGCTCGCGACGCAGCCGATTGCTGGCCCGGCCGCCCTGCAGCGCCGCGTCATAGGGTATCGTCCCACAATCAGGCTATAAGGATGCGTCTCTGGGGTGTGCCCGACCTAGTTTTATGGATTCGTCACCACGTATCCCCCTCTCGAAGCATGAGCCTCCCTCTCGCGTTTGCTCTCTTGTGTTGTTTCATCGCTCTCTCCCTCTCTCTCTCTCTCTCTTTCTCGCTCGCTGTCATTATCCCTCTATGCTCTGTGTTGCGTTGTGTTGTGTATTCTCTCTCTCTCTATCTCTCGCTTTCATTCTCTCTCTCTCTCTCTCTCTCTTTCACTATTTTTCTCTCCCTTTCTCTCTCTCTCTCTCGCTCTGTGTCTATCTCTCTCACTCGCTCCCTCTCTCTCTCTCTCTGTTTCGGCGCGAGGGCCGCCCCAGGGGTCCGGGCGCAGCCACTCGGGAGGCAACCTCTGCGCGGAGAGCCCGACAACCGCGGTGAGCCAGCACCCGCCGCCCCACTCGCCCCCCACGCCTCCCGGCCGCGCGCGCGCCGCCGTGGCCGCCACGCCGCGAGCCATCGCTTCTGCACCAGCAGCGGCCGCGACAAGGCCTCCTCCTCCTCCTCCTCCTTTTCCTCCTCCTCCTCCTCCTCCTCTTCCTCCTCCTCCTCCTCCTCCTCCTCCTCCTCCTCCTCCTCCTCCTCCTCCTCCCCGGGGGCGGCCGCCGCTGGGCGCCCTGCGCCTCACCCGCACGCGCAGAACTCCCCGCGCACGTGCTGGATCCAACTGCTTCGGTACTCGCGGCAAGACCCGTGGCAGCCCCGCCCGCACCCCTCTCTCTAGGGGGGCCACGTGCGAGCCCCACCCCTGCCCCCCACGACTTCTGAGGGGGAGGGGGGGGTCACTTCGTCTCCCCACCTATCCCCTCAGAAGTCGCGGGGGGCAGCAGGGGTAGGGCTCGCACGTGGCCCCCTACCTCTCTCCTCCCTGGTCACGACACGACCCGCGCCGGCACCGTCTGGCAAAGAGCCACCCGTAAGCATTCCCAGACGGCGCCGGCGCGCATCGCGACGCCGCCAGCCCGTCATCCCCCCCCCTCCCCCCCCCCCCGGTCACACCCGTTACCGCCCAGGGATCACAAAACGGTATCCTTCCTGACCCGCCAGATCGACCACCTCGGGACGTTCTTCACGGTTTACGAGGGGAGCTTCAAGCTCTACGGGGGACAGCCGACGCTCAACGCGACGACGCGACGAGCACTCGGCCTTAGGCTTAGGTTGGACGAAAAACAAGCAATACTCTAATCATCGTTCCCGTACTATTTTCTGCCAATTTTGGACCAATCCTCCTGTAGAAGGACAGGCCCGACTTAACCCTAGGCCGTGTCGGTGCCTCCCTCCCCGCGGACGGCACCCGCCAAGACGCCGCCCGCGCAGGTCAGACTCACCATGCTTAGATCGGGCGTGTCCCCCTACAAGCGGATTCTGGACGACAAATATCGGCGGTGGACAAACCTCCCTTTAGTAGACCTCCCCTTGGTGAAAACGGCCTGGGACCGAAACAGACGGACCTGGACCTGCAAAAATGACGACCGCGACGCCCACTCGCGAACCGAAAACGGCCAATTTCTTAATCGACGTGTCAGGGTAGGAGGTCTGTCCACCCCCGAAAATAACACATATTCAAAAAATGCTCAAGAGTAGCCAAAAATAGCAGGAAACTCGTCCCCACACTACCCCCCCTGTAGAAAGACCGGCCCGACTTCACGCCAGGTCTGCTCTGCTCCGCGGGCGGAACCCCTCTGTCCACCGGCGACGCCGTGACGAGCCCCAGGCTGCAAGGGCGGAGCAGGGCCGCCGTCAGCCGTGGGGGCGTCGTCGGAATCGGCGGCCGCGGTGGACGTGGTGGCGACGACGATTACGTCGTTCCTTTCTAATCGTGCTCATTTCTATTTCTAGTCGTGCTCGTTTCTAATTGTTCCTGGCCCCCTAGTGGCCAGGACGAGGCCCAGGACAGAATACTTCGAGATGAAAGGATCTTGGCCCCCAGCAAAACCAAAGGACTCTCGAAAAAATAGAAATGAACTGTGTGTAATTGAGCAGCTGCACCAAATGACTGGCAGGCCCGACGGTTCTCTCTGCCTCCTCCCGCTGGCCAGCACCAGGAGCTCCGCCGGGCGCCGCCAAGACTTCACGCGGGCGGTGCCGAGCGCGGGCGGCGTCGACGCCGACAGGGGGCAGGGAGGCGGACGCCAGCCACGGCGCCGGCATCACTTGGCCTGCTAGACCGCAGGCGCAGCTCAAGGAAGGCCCCAAGCTCCCGTGCAGCCCAGGGGCGCCGCAGGCGAACCGAGCCGCGACCGAGCGGCAGCGGCCACTCAGACCCGAGCTCAAATGCAGCAGCAGCAGGAAGCGCAAGCGCAGTCCCAACTTACGCCGCTGCCACCTCGGCCACCACGGCCACCGCCCTCGACGACGCCGACGCGGACGACGACGCCCACGCCGACGCGGGGCGACGGACCACTGGACCGTCGCACGACGCCGACGCAGACGCGCGGCGACGACCGTCGCACGACCAACGGACCGACGTGTGACCCCGTCGTCGCTCCTACCCCATTGGGCGCAGCGCTCACTGCCCAACATGCGGTGGGCAGCTCCATCAGACGGCACTAGCGGTGCTAAATCAGACCAAGCGGGGCCCGTGGCATCAAGCGGCATCGGCCGGTCAATGTAGCGGAAGAGCGTCTCGTTTGCATTGCGCGGCGCATGTTTGCCATCCGACTATGGGAACGGAGCCGCGAGGCAGAGCGTGGAACCGCCCGTGCCAGCGGCCACGTGAAGGATCAACTTGGAGCGCATGGGCCCTTGCCGGGATCCTGGCGGTGGTGCTAGCGAACGCGTGCAAGGCCATCCTGCGCGCCTCCGGCTCAACTGCCACCTGGCCCCCGCGGCCGGCGGTCTGCGCGCTCGCGCTGACCGTGCTCCCGCCCCCGCGGCCCGCCCCGACAGCCACGGCGGAGGATGCGAGGGCGCCCTCGGACCCCACTGCCCGCAGCCGAAGGGCGGCGCCGCAGCAGCTGGCAGCGCGGACCCCGCGCGGACCCCGCGCGGGCCGCGCTGCCCACGCGGATCGCCCGCAACCGCCGCTACCTGCATCAGCAGGGGCCCGGTGGGACACCCGGGCTCGACCGCGTCCCGTCAGCCGTCTTCGCCCACTGGGCCTGGGCTGAGGTCGGGCACGTCCTCCTACAGGTGGGCAGAATACTTAACCATTGTCAGAAAATACGGCACAACAGCCAAACATAGGAGGAAAAGACTCCCCAGACTACTTTTTCACTACTTTTCCCAACAATCCTGTGGTGTTGGATCCTCTTTTGAAGAAGCGGTCCCCGCGTTCCTCCTTCCATCCTCCTCCCCTCCTTCTCCGTCTCCCTCTCCTCCTCTTCATCATCATTCCTCTCCTCCCTGCCTCTGCTCTCCGCGCACCCCTCACACGCTTCGTGGCCCCATGGGGAGTTCCACCTAAGGCCCAAGATGGAAAGTTCGCATGCTACCGCCGCCAAATTTCGGCACACACACACACATACACACACACACACACCCCTCACACGATTCGTTGCCCCACAGGGAGCTCCACCTAAGGCCCCAGGTGGAAAGTTCGCATGACACCGCCGCCAAATTTCGGCACACCCCTCACACGTTTCGTGGCCCCACAGGGAGCTCCACCGAAGGCCCCGGTGGGAAAGTTCGCATTCGAAGCCCCCGCAAGATGTGACATCTGTGTTGCGCAGAAACAGGGGGGCGACGAGAGGGGCAGGGCAAGGGGGGAGGGATAAGGGGGGAGGGCAAGGAGGGGGAGGGGGAAGGGGGAAAGGGAAAGTGGGGAGGGCAAGAAGGGGGAGGGGGAAAAGGGGGAGGGGAGGGGGGGGGAAAGCGGAGGGGGGAAAGGGGGAAAGGGGAGGGGAAGGGATGTCGACAGGGGGCGGAGGAGGGGGCAGGGGGGGGAAGGGCGCCTCTATGGAAAGATGGGGGGGGATGGCAATTAGATGGTTGGCCTGTGTTAGTATATACATACATGTGTTGAACGTTTGTGCACTGCACACGCATGCGCATGCAGTTCTAAAAGGCGTTGATCTAAGCCTTTGCCTGAACAGTTTGTACAATACAATCGAACATGATTGTTATGATTTTTTTGTGCTTCGGACTACGGAGCACTCACGCGTCACCACATCATAACAACGGTTCCATCCGTTTCAACCGCAGCTTGGCGCGTTGCCGCATGCGTATGTCTACAAGAGGCTACCACCTAAACACTACGAGAAACAATACTTGTTGGACAGCGCGGAACACTGACTCACACGCGGTGCCACTATCATACACGTTTTAACTTTTAACCACATCTTACCACATACGTATCATGCTGAGTTATGATTCGATGTTCATCTCGGCCTTCATCTGACTCATCTGACCTAAACAGAGCAACGATCCGTGCTTGTTGCACGCATTGCGGGGCACTCACACGCGCTGCCAACATCGTGCAAGTTCATCCTTTTGTCCGCCAACCGGCCGCGAGGCACGGAAGGGAGTGTCCTCACGTCCTTACGTATTCTCTGTTGTCTCTTGAACATACTATAGGGGTCGAGGCCCCGAATTCGCGAATCTCTCGGGCGACACTGGGCCCTTCTGGGCCCGATTGTTTGAATTTTCCAAAACAGGCCAGGGCCTCCAAACGGGCAAAGAGGGGCCTGGGTAACGCCTTAGAGGGAGAGGCCTGCAAGACGGCCCAAGGGCGCTCCAAGACGCCCGAGATGGCTCCCAAACTCATAGACGGCCCAAGGGACCCCCAAGAGGCCCCAAGTGAGCTTCAAAAGGCACCCCGAGAAAGCTCCAAGAGGACAAAGACATCGATCTTACAAAGGTGTTGATTGATGTTGGCCATCTCGCATTTTCGGGTTTCCG